AAACAATACAACAGAAAAAAGTGCTATTGACAGTTTAGATGCAGATGAATGCTGGTTAATCATCTCAAGAGATTCAACATTTTCGATAATGGAAATATATTTGAAAAAGCAAAAAATATTTTTTGTAAACTAACTAGAATCTCTTTCTTACATGTAACTCATTTTTGTTTCAGACAYATTCATGAAAATATACTTTTTTACTATGTTGGGGCAAAACATCGTTTTTCATCTGATACTCATAATTTTATCTTAGCCTCTTTACAATCTCTAATTTAACAGTGTCAAATTCACAAACACCGCACATTTGCTCCRCATTTACATCTTAAACTGCATCTAATACTTCATTTCTACATCATATTTACAAAACAAATAGAACTGAAGAAATACTGGCACAAACAYGACCACTGACTTCAGTTTGTGACAAACACAGCAGGTGCAAAATTTACAGAAAGGAAAAAAGGTTTCTTACAGTGAGCTTTAGGTTTTATTTTAACAGATAAAGAAACACAGAAACTCATTAAAACTGAAATCTAAAACACATCACTGTACCTGAGTGGAATCACTTGCAGCAAAACAAGAGACACTTTAGAAAAATTTACTTCAAAATCAGAAATGTTTGTCTTAATGTGAACAGAAAGGGAGTTCCCCTAGAAATCAATGTCTATGACCACACTGAGGATAACCTTGAAACTAAGGCAACACAGTGTTTTAGACTTTACCAATCTGGGAGCACACACTCCCTTTCAACACAGAACACAGCAGGAGTGACCTGATACCAGACTAAGGCAAGAATTATTGCCAGCGATAGTATACTTCTGAACATCCACAAAGGTGAAAAGTGTTCTCTCACCACCTGACACATCTACAGAGAACTATGTTCTCTTTTAACCTGACAGACCTTGAACGCTTCRAGGTGTRGCAGGACTCAGCAACCCACTGTGTCACAGATTTGGATACCTGAACTGACTCTGAGAGCCTTCAGCCCACAGAGACTTGTACCTGCAACAATCTCTGAAAGAACTGCTTTRGTCCCATGGATACTATAATTACTTGGAACCAAGAGAAGTTTTGAAATCAAACAAACATTTGAGGACTCTTCATCCCACCAGAATCACAATCTGCTGCAGTGCTAATGACTTTTTGTTTGTGCTCACTTTTTGAACGAAACATACAACACCAAGTGGCGCAAATTCCCTTGTTTTTCCGATGTGTTCAAAAATACTCTTCAAATTTGGGTTTTGCACACTTTTTCTTTATTTTAATTTTCTTCGTAACAAATACTTCCATCCTGTCAYCTTATTTTAACGCTTTTTTAACAACCCATCTAAACGCATTGCATGGTTCATCAAAATTAGGCTAATGAGGTTGTAAAGAAAAAAGCMACGGCCCTAAGCTAACTTGAAATGCTAATGCTAATATTTTGTAGGCTTCCTCAAATCTGCACAGTTCAGAATGGCTATTAGAAATCACAAGTGACATTTTGGGTTACAATAATACATCCTCTTAGTTTTAATGTTTAATTWAAAAAAGTCTTTTGGACCACTTGCCTCCCACTTACAGATTCAGACAAAACTCCACTCAGCAGAGAGACACTTTTTGATTAACAGTCGAGTCCGAGCACACATCTCATAAAATCTAAACTTGCATCTTCAAAAGATGTGGGAGCAAGTCTGATCTGTGTGATAAGTAAGTAAGTAAGTCAGTCAGTCAGTCAGTCAGTCAGTCAGTCAGTCAGTCAGTCAGTCAGTCAGTCAGTCAGTCAGTC